GATCTTTGAACTTCTGAACTAAAAGAAAGGATAAGGATACTACATGGTATCCCTTGCGTAAGAATGTGTTCTAGAAAACAAAGTATGAGGTTTTCAGTGAAAATATCTTTCTTGTCTTCATTTCAAACAATTTCAGTCAAAGGAGAATCTTCAAAAAATTCCCCTGTATCTCATTTTCTGTAGGGTTTGATAGGGTGGAAAGAGCATCTACTACTTCGTAAGAAGACGACGGCCATGGATTCTCAATGTGCCCAAAGATTTGTTCATAAAAAGTAGACTCTGAGTACTCTTAACTAACATTAGCCCCAACAAGCTCTCTCAAATCTTATGACACAGTTCTGTAACCTTTCCTCATTCCCACTCATTGGTTTGTTCACATGGTTAAAGACAACGGTATTGTTAGTGTCAGGCTCCATCAACTTCTAATTACACCAGTTAGACCTAAAAGTAGTCAAACTTAAAATCTCGATTGCAAAGCTCCTTCCTAGGAAAACCTAAATGAAATTCTCTTTAACCACAGTCTACTTACGAGGAAGCTTAACAGAACACATAAGGTTTAAAAGGAGGCAACGAAACAGAGAGGACCTAATAATTCTATTGTCTGTCACTGAATGCTAAGCACCCAAATCCAGGCAGCTGAGAAAAGGGGTAAGGAACTATCCAGTTTCAGTTTCAAAAGTGTTATCCATTATAAACACATATCACAAATTTTACTGGTTTACTTCCAAGGAAACCTAGCAGCTGAACACAAAAAACATAGAGGAACTAAATACACCCATAACAAAGCCCCAACATCATGGCTTCAATCTGAGATCTCAACTGATGGCTCAGGAAAGCATAAATACAAACACTGAATGTGTTCAGCATGGACATACTGACCAAAGTGACTTTGTGCCTGTGGATACACGATGGATATAGAAAAGTCAAGTCTCTTTTCTGCTCTCCATTTTTTTCATTATTCCTCAATCACCGGAAAAGTAGTCAAAACCAGAAAAAGGATGAACTAAGGAAGTAGCAGTGTACCACAATCACTTTTAAAAAATGTATTACACATGCAAGGCTAGAGGCTTTTCCAAAGACATAAAAGGAGCAGAATGAAGCCCCTGAAATGGAAATTGCCTCCTTTACCAGGCCAACAGACTAGGTCTCACATCTATGCCACCAACTTGCTGGATGAACCTGGCTAAACAGGTAACCTGTATATCTCAATTAGCTTTTCTAGAAAATGGAGATAACACACACGTTTTCCCTAAACATGATAATTAATGTCTGCAGTGTACCCTATGACGTTTGCACAAAAAGGGGTGTTAAAAGTATTCTGGCCATTATCATGACCCTTAAAAATTTAAAAATTAGTTTAACAAAGGGTGGGGAAAAGCCACAAGGGCTCCAGCACATATCAACAAACTCTACACTAATTGCTATAAAGGCAGCAGTAATTCTTGTTACCTTGTACCTTTCGACAGCCTGTAAAAAAGGGAATACAATGTCCATATTTCAGTGCTAACTGCTATCATCTGCAGCAAGAAACAGAAAGAAACAGCACATGCTAAAAATAAAAGAAGAAAAGTTAAATAATCCTGCAAAAGAAAATACCCTGCTCCTCATACCATGATCCAGGGATCTTGTAACTTAGTGAGAAACCAAGAGAGTGTTTTACATTTACAACCAGTACTTTTATATTTACAACTAGTCCTTCTTCCAGATACCAAGCACCAGCAAGGGAATGAGTATGTTTTGTGGCAGGAAAAAAAAACCAAAACAACAAACAAGCAGCACGTGGAAAGGCCTCGCTTATAAGCTCTGCTTCCTTAGCTTATTCCTACAACCCAGGCTCATGTTAGGGGCAATCATATGTATAACCTTCATAGCTGTAATTTAGACTGCACCAGATTCGGCAGAAAGCAAAGGCCAACAACAAATATATTCAAGCTCTTGAAAACATCTCAAAAGCAGGACAGTATGGTTAAAAAGCTACAAGATGCTGCTAGGGAGAGACAAAACAGGCTAAAAAGAGAAGCAGAAAAGACAACATAATTCCACTAAAGAGAGAAATTAGACCAAAGAAACAAAGAATCGAGAAGAAAAGGGGATTTTCTAACACTGTAACCTCACAGAAAAGGGTTTTGTCCTATGTGGTTACATCTTTTGCACATCCCAGGACTTTGAGTGGTTGCAAAAAGACAAACCTATTCCAATTCCACAAGTGTTCAGAGGATTATCAGGGGTGGCTTCACATACAAGCAGAAAGGGATGCAGCAGTGTTCGCTGATAAGCTGGACTCAAGGAGAAGCTGATCCTGCACTGACGATGACAAACGTGGCTGTAAACAGCAGCAGAGCGAGATGCTGACACTCTGCTAACACAAGGTTACAGTTCCCACTATGGAGCTACACGGCAAATTTTAATGGGCCAAGACCGACAGCTAGGGAAATGAGTGTCCGCTCTCTGCTGCAAAAATTATAGCTTTTCCCATCCCCCTCCAACTCATTCTCCACTGTCAGTACTATAACACAATGACCTCTTATTAGGAAGTATTTTTCAGTTGGGACAGTTTATTGTAAGGACACTGGATAACTCAAGGGATTAATGGCATGGACGTGGAGTCCCTTATCTCCAGTTTGGTAGTTCAAAACATCAGAAGTGGGTTGAAGAAAGAGCAATTAGGAGTGTGACATGAGTTTGTAGGGCTCCATTCTGAAGGCCTTAGTAAGGCCATAAACCTTAGCAAGGTATGCTCTGAAGACCCAAAATGCAGGACACAATATGATGTGTCAGACTGCATCTACTACATGATCTTGCAGAACGCTGAAGTCCTCTTGCAAACAACTAGAAATCATGGCTTCTCCTGGATTCCTGTTGAAAGCAGCAAGACTGCGGGGGTACAGAGTACACAGAAGACAGTGCCACTGAGCACAGAGCAGAAGGTATTTAGCACCTTGCAGGATACAGTGCCCATTAGAATCACAAATACAATACAAAAACAGCTTGAGCCTATAATGACATCTGCTGATACAATGCAAGATGTTTTAATTCTATTGCTTTCTCACACTTGTGCGTAACACCACTGATATGTTCCAAACAGGTCTCAGTCCTATGAAGCACTGTCATCAATTAAGTCAAAAAAGGTGAGGGGGTACAGAGCAGAATTTGGTCATGAGACTCTTGTCTCCCTCCTCTGGATTCTGTAATTCTTCTTCAACTGCTTAACACCAGATTTGAAGTCAGCACTGATAGGCCTGAGCACATGGCTTTCCCATACAGAGCCATTTGTTGGATTCATGCCATAGTTTGTTCTGGTGTTTCCGTAAACATTTTTATGACATGGCGCCATGTGCCTACAAGTCTGCTTTATGGACCGAGATCTACTGCATGCATTAGAAAGCAGCACGCATGATCCTGGCTACAGAGAAGCCACAGTAGTGTGGTGGAAGTTAGGTCATCTGGCTCACAGAACTGAACTGCTCATTTAATAAGGCTTCTACAGATACTCAGCTGGAAGCAATAATGACTCCTAAGCAAACGTGACAGAGACTGTGAGAGTTTAACATAAAAAAAACAATTAATGAAAAAACAAGGAGAAAACCTCCACCTTTCAGAGGGCTCTAATTAGCTCACATGCAAGACTCTCCATTGTGAGAGTGAAGTTTATGTTGGAGTTCTTAAATTTATAAATATTTTTATATGGTAGGAATATACACCTATACAGAAAGATACACAACTGCTACATGCTTCCTCTGAGCAATTCTTCAGTTGCATACACAGTGAGAAATTAATTATATCAAAGATAATGTTAGAATCTGCCTTGAGAAAGAGAACGAACTGTCGACCAGCACAGGCTGTGATGATCTGCTGCCTGCTATGACCTTCCTAAGGAGTGGGGTGGGGAACCAACCCCAAAAACCAAACCACCAAATCCATCACAAAGCACATGGTGTCAATAACAACGTCAGGTAATCTCACGTACAGATGTCTATGCAATTAAGGGATGGCACAGTGTTACTAGGCTAGAGAGATTTTCACTGCAGAGCTTAACAGAATTCATGAATAGCCCTTTCACTAGATGCACTTTACTGACCCTTCCCAATTCACAGTCTTTACTCACATCTCCCTCCTTTAAAAATCATCTCCTGGGTTCTCCAGATAAGAGTTACAAGGTAAAAAGACTTCGATGTAGCCAGTGCCACATCATTATGGAAAGTACTTGAGTCTTCTCACTGCAAACAGCTTGTATTCACTATGATCACCAAATGAAAGCTGGAGAAGGAACTCTATTAGAGATTTGTATGTTTAGGACAATAACATGGGCTAAGAATTTTGGCAAGGTTTTGACTGAGTTATAGATGGCTGAAGAGGACAGAAAAAAAGAAAAAGGAGGTTGTAAAAAAAAATATATATATACTGCAGCTCCAGAGAATGGTGGCTCACTTCCCACTCTGCATCACCGTAAAAATGAAAACAAAGCAGGGTTCTCTTCGTTATCCTCATACACAAAAAAACCCAAGCTCTTTCCAAAACGGTTCTAGAGTGAAAACATTGGATCACATGCACTGCCAGCTGCCAGACACTTCTAAGCTCACTCGGAAAATAAAGACAGCTTGAATGAGGTCTCTGAGCAGCAGAGATTTTTTTTTATTAGACAACAGCACTAAGAATCTCAGTTCAAATTATGCTGCACAGGTCTTTCTTCAGACTCTTTACTAAATAAGCACTGATCAAGAGCATACATTGCACACACTTAGGACAGGCAGTCCGTGCTCAAGGACAACTCAGTGGCCTAGGTGACCCATGTCTAACCCCAGAAAGACAGAAGGTTACGGTTACAGGTCAGAATTCAGAGGTCAACAGCAGGGCAACATAAGGCAGTTTACACCTTTTTCACAAAGCACCAGCTCCTTTGAAAAGCAAAACAATGGATGCAGAATGATGCAGCAAAGAGAACAACTCATGTATATTATATGATCAGCAAGAAATTATATGCTGCTTCTTGATGAACTTACCAGTGGCTCCCGAGATGCTGCATTTTCAGTCGCAGGGCAGGAGCCAGCCTGTAAAGCAAAAAGAAGAGTGAGGTTACATTGCCACCTGATGGACACAATTAGAAATACTTGTCTGTTAAGAGCACTCTTCCTATGAGCAGGATTTAGGCAGACACATTTGTTTCTGCTATCAGTAGCAGTTCTGTGATGGACTGAAGACAAAAAGGTCAGAATCACACAAAAAAATTAGTTCCGGCAGTCCCCATTTAAAACAACAGAATTCACAGAATCTGCAGAACTTGCTTTAGGGATCCAGCAGTGAAGAGCCAGAGAGACTACTGAGAGATGTCGTGAAAGAAATGTTCACCCTAACTCAAATTCTGAAATACATGGTGCAGTGAACAAACACAGCATGAAACTGGGATTCCCTCTGCTAAATCTTGATGGCAACACTTGTCACATTGCATGGTATAAGACAGGACATTTTCATCATATAGGAAATGAGGATAATAACTTGCCCGTCTCAAAGGGACCTGATGAGTACTTGACATCCGCAAAGAATTTTGCAATACTAAAGGGAAGAAATGCTGCAGAAGCCCAAAGTACTGCTCTTGAAGTGGATGCAAAGGTACCTCACTCTGATTCCATGATTCACCATCTCCTCTCTAGAAGGACTAAACTTAATTTGACACCGAGCTTCTCCCATTTCCATGACCCAGTAATGCGCCCTTTGTTTTCCACACTATTCTTCTAAAGATTTCAGAACAACTATGATTTAACTAAACCTCACGATATGTCAGCAATACCAGTACCATCCTTGTTTCCCACTCATAATTAAGAGATGTAGCTTTAGGGCAGATGCTGAACACCTTACCTTGCACACTAGGAAAGGGTAGTACACAGGACGAAAGTGAAACTATGTGATTAAAGCAGGACAGCAAGCCAAAGACTGGACTAGACTTAACATTCAGGAGCTTCCACCCTCCAGGCTCACCTGCAGTTTTGCTCATATTCACTCGCTCATCAAGAACAGGTATAACATTTTAGCATAGTCCCATGTTTTACAGAATTACTCTCTGGGTTTTTCTTCACTGCCAAAAAAAAGCAGTTTGATCTCTGTGTAACTAGCATATATCAGCTCTCCCAAGGTAGAGACACCTAAGTTTTACCATAAAATACTTATCTTGGTCTACCATCTACTTTCAAATGGGATTCACATGATGTTAAGATGGTCTAAACCATATTGCCTTCACTGTGGGTTTTTTATCTTAGGAGAGGTGACACATACCGGTTACCTCAATGGTAAAAAAATGCAGTTTTATTAGTAATGAAGACAAGTTTTGAGGCTCAGTTAGAGAAAAGGGATCCTATTCATTGAGTATAGGGAAAGAGAAATCAAGTGATAGCATAAAGGTCCTTAAGTGACTTTTTGTCCTCCAGTTGTATTCATCACTTTTATGCAATATACCACACCTTCAAAGTACCTCAAGATTTTTTCTTCCCATCTACAAAATACGCAAAAAATATAGATAAAAATAATTACCACAAGAGGGTGCCAGAAACTCAAATATACTGCAACTTAGCTGCTTCCAGACTTAAGCATCATCACCAGGGCCCAGCCAGATCTCACAGTTAGGCAGCGATTCTCTAGAGAGGCCCTGAGTCTCTTCATGTGCAGTCACCATCATTTTTGTTACTCCACTACATATCCGCAAAAATTTCAGCCACTAAGAATTCACTTGACATAACCACTGCAAATATCAGCTTCAACACCATACTGGGAGTCACACTGCCTGGTCTGTCTGTAGTGGAGACAATGCTATGTGATACCAAGAAAAAGGCTCTTCTCTCTTCAGCCTTGTCACTGACCTCCCGTTTTTATACACATAGTATATCTGCTTTCCAATCTTTTACAGCTGGATGAAAAAAAAATAATGAACAGTCTCAAGATCCACCCACCTCCAAAAATACGGAAAACATATGAGAATCAACACAAGAATATGGCTTGCATCATTTATTAATAAGTTAACTGAACCTGTTTAAGCTGTGGATAAACTTATTTGGTGCATATGCTCTATTTTATTTCTTCAGTCAAATCCCAGAACTAACACAGATATCTTACTATGGCTAGTACTCTAAAATATTGGGGCCTGATTCATAGCACACTGAAGTCAAAGAAAAGATTCTCACCAAATTCAGTTAGCACAGGGTCAGAACTGCTTAGAAGAGGCAGATGAAGAGCAGCACAGATAAAATTCCTGTGGAATACTTCAAAAAAGCACCTATAGCTGTTAACTACTATTTCCATGGAATTGTTCCATCAAGCCACTTGTGTTAAGTGTTCAGCTTTCTAAGAATGTACATATTTTGCTCTTCTGTAGCATGTTTCAAGGAAAATTCAAAGCATTTTAACTACTTAAGCTGACTTTGCAAAGAGAAAAACTACAGATGTGTGGTGCAAACAGTAAAGTCACAAAGGCACAAAGAAAGAAACCACCAGAGAATTCCTATCTTCAGAAAATTCCCACAGCATCCTAAGTACTAGAGCTTGTATGTTCTGCCCTAAGGAGCTGCACTAGTATTTGTGGACTGTCACTCCACAAAAAATTTGGCCAATCTGGGAAACTGCCCGAAGGAGGATTTGAAATGAAGCCTAGGTTACTGTGAGAAAACATGCATCATATTGACAGGAAAGAGTCTTGATCCTGAAGACAAATAACCAAAAATTCTGACGTGTGCTTGTACGTAACCTGATGACATATATATGATTAGTTGGATAATTTATGGTACTTTGACTGCATTGTCCAAAGCTACCAACATTTTAAATGAGATCTGCATTTTCCTTCCAGCAAGACTTCCAAGTACAAGGCGTAGTGTAACAGCAAAGGAACTAGTCTTAATAAGGTAGGGGACAGTAACCCTTCAGAACATGTTAGCTCCGAGACAAGTCAAGGAAGATTCCATCCTTTCCACGTGATGGCTGTTCAATAGCCTGTATTTCATGAAAACAATGGACATCACGGTCCAGAGACCACTTATCTTCACCATAAACCATCTTTTAAGGCAGAGAATCCAGAGGCTTAATAGTCAAGAGCTACAGGCAAGTGGGGAGGAAAATTTATGTATATATTGACTAACAGTGCAGCTAGGGAATTAAGTCTCTGGAGCAACAAATCAGGTATCTTTCAACCTCTGAAATTTGCTTTAACTACCTCCTTAGAAGGTAGTTAAAAAGAAGAAAAAATGCACCTAGATGCTGTAGACTCAATCCAAAGTGGGTATAATGAAGCTTTCGAAAGAAAACAACTAAGATTTGGGCCTTTGTACTCTGCTTGCTTCCCCACTAAACCACATGTAAGAACATCACCAAGTATAAAAGATGTTGGAACACCAATGCATTCTTTTCACCTTACCATCTCTCCTTTCTCAGTCTCTTACATTAAATTTACATGTAGTCTGTTTTTAGCATAGTGAGCCTTCCAGTGTTACGCAACAAACAAAAGAATCCCACGTACAGAATCCACTCTGCCTGTCCTACCTCAATGGCTGCACCACCATTTTGGTACCAAGTCAAATTCAGCCATTGACTTTAACAATTTCAAGCCTTTTATGACTCACACAGACCAGCTACATACTGACTTCCAGGCTACAGGATTCTCGGCTTCTGCACATAATTGTACAGATAATTAGGCATCATTTTGTGTCCCACACTAAGCAGCTTGGAAAAATTTAGACATACTTATCTAAACCAACAACACTACTGCCAATCAATGTTAAAGAATTTCAATTTTTCTCACACTATGGGGATTTACGGTTAAATGGAATACCAGAGGACTGGGTTGCTGGCTGGCTGAGCCAAGAAGACTCGCCAAATATACTGCCAAAGTATTCAGCATCAAAGAAATACTGATAGCCAAGAAAAATCAGAAATCGGTTATTCTTTTCACAGGCTATACCATCATCTTGCTCTTTCCTTTCTTTACTATAAGGAATAGTAACAGAGAGACGGGATCTTTTCTTTGGTTTATTTTTTAGTAAAGACATTGCTAAGGCCCGAGGAACACAATTTCTAAACAAAACCAAATATTTTAAAATCTCTGGTAGAAATGTTTATTGCCTTTAGAATATAATTCTATGTAAATTATTTCATTTGAGCTGCAACACTCCCCCCTCCCCACAATGCTTGAGGCAATATATTAATTCATGAGAATGAGAAAATTAAACTAAGAAAAACAGATAATAAGCCAAAAGATATCTGACACTCCCTTTTCAGCATCTAAACTAACTAGATTTGCAATAGAAAAAACAATAGGACCCAAACATAAACATGTTAAGCAGGGCAGTGCTACTACTCATAGCCTTGTGTTGAATGCTTGGCAATAAATAAACAAACATCATCAGTGGTAGAAAGTAAACTTTTTTTTTAAATTCTCTAAACGTTTAGTGTGCAACGGCGACAACTTTTTCCACGCATTTGATAACAGTGTCAAAACTGCAATGGTTGCATAAGAGGAGCGGCATTTACATTCTGGTAGACTAATAAAGATATTTTCATTGTTTTGTTTTATTCCAAAATTGTCCCCTTAAGAATTCATCTACTGTGCTAGACATTCTTCAATTGCACCCCCTTTTTCCGGCCAAAGCTGCAAGATTCTCTCAAATCCCATCCAAGCCAACAGAATTTGAGAGCGCTGAACGCTGCTCAGCTAGAGTTCTGGATGGGGAACGTGCAACCAGGGTAAGACACGTACTGGATGGTGAAGACAGGGATATCTGTCAGGCATGGATAGCCTTGGCCAGACAGAACAATCCCTTTGTCTCCACACAAGCACACAATGTGGGGAAGGAGGAAAGTTAATACACAAGCAGGGCTGCTGCCGGTGTGTGCGTGGAGGGGGTAAATATTAGTGTGGCTACCCTTTAGCTGAGCTTGAGTGCTACCTCACGTACCTGAAGCAAGGCAGACCACCAGAGCTGCCCTTTAAACAAACTGCCACTAATGAAGTCATCATGAGAGGCCAGGAGCCAAAAGGGGAGCAATTAATGTGCTATTGCCTGAGAATCCAGCATTTTTGCATACAATGTGACAGAATCCGGCAGGGGAGCAGTCCAGGAGACCATTTTCACCCACAGTGGCTTCAGACCACCTCCCTCCACAGAGGAGCTGACACAAAATAGTCTCTCCGTGGTGAAAAGTGAACTTTGCAGCCTGGGTATTCTGCCTTACCTCAAATTCTTCCTGAACGCACAAGCATTAACTCCACTATGTTCCTTACAGACAATGCCGGGAAAACTCTCCACGTTACACATAAGGTAGGAGTTACCATTCCCATTTTTCACTACGGAGACAGTGACAGAGTGACTTTCTTAATGTCCTTAATTTTAAAACCCAGGGGGTGCTCTGGCTACCTTTATGAGGCCCGTTAAAAAGCAAGACTTTTCAATTTCCAAACATCAAGCCTTCTTTTGAGGTAAAGCAACACTAAATAAATGTTAAAAAAAAGGGTGCAATGGGAGGATACTATAACCAAACTCAAGAGAACTTGAATGTTTCTCAGGCAACCGCATTTGCCAATTAACCAGATTTCTTTCTCAGAAACCTACAGTCAGCTGCCTTGTAGACTGCTCAAGTGGCTTATGGATCAGGCGCAGGTTCTCAGGTGTCCTCATTCTGAAAGCATTCACTTGAAGCATGAGGAATGGACTGCACCTCAAACTACTACTGTTGAAAGCACGTGGCCGATACAAAACTGCCCAACAAGCCTATGGTGAGTTTGGTAACTTGGCCTTTCACAGCCTAGGAGGAGATCTGTGCTGGTTAGTCAGAGTATGAATTTTATGTAATTTATTTCTATTTCAGTTTAGTTCAATAATGTTCCCTACAAACTTGGCCTCCTCAGCCCAAAATAAAAGGATCGACAGAGATTCACAGCGATTTAGTCAAATCTGGATAGATGTGAGTGATTGACTGCACATAAAAGCGTGTCGGTGGCAGACTTTGCTCTATTTTCTTCCCTGTTGCTGAAACAGTCAGACCTTTCATCTCCTGGCTGCTGCAGGAGGGCCCTCTGCGGCCTCCTAAAGGATTTTACAAAATTCCATTGGTATCACATACTCAGGAGTCTGTCCAAGATACTGGTGAGATGAGAGAGCTGCCAGGAGGTCACTAAACTTGAGGTAGGTAGAGTTTGCAATGAAACATGAGTTACCCTGGATCACAAGCAAGCCAGTGCAAGTGACCGGGAACCTACGCCGTATACCACTACATCATACTCCCATTTTTCCCTCTGGCTCCCCCGTTCATTTCAGGTCCCAGTTTAAAAATATCTTAAGCTTTTAGCATGTTTCTTGAGCATGCACTCAAGCCAGCGAACCCACATGTCTCTTTTACCCTCCCAATTCAGTTTTTGCCCATGCTTATACTACGTCTGTCATTGCTTTGCCCTTTTATGCTGCTGGTTCAAGGATCTTTCTCCCTTGCAGTTGCAAGGCAGAAACAACATTTTGTCTAACTGGTACTCCACCTCATTTCAAAACCCAGCTGACACATAAATTGCCTCCTTTCTCTCTGGCTGTGCCTCTTTTTTTTTTTTTTTAACCCCACCACCCCCCCCAGTCCGAGTGCTTTATTGAGTTTCACAGAGAGACCCTGCAATGAAAGCACGCCTAGTGTCTAGGGGCCAGGCCTGCACAGCTAC